GAGGAAGAGAGAGAGAGAGCTCTTCCATCTGCTGGTTTAATCCCCAAGATGGCCACAATGGCCAGAGCTGTGCCGATCCGAATGCAGGAGCCAGGAGCTTCTTCTGGGTCTCCCACGCGGGTGCAGGGTTCCAAGGACTTGAGCCATCTTCTACTGCTTTCCCAGGCCATGGCAGAGAGCTGGATCAGAAGTGGAGCAGCCGGGACTCAAACTGGTGCCCATATGGGATAGCAGCACTGCAGGCAGTGGCTTTAAGTGCTGCACCACAGCGCCAGTCCGTCTTCTGAATAACTTGTGGCAGGGCCTTGCTCTGAAATAGGCTGTGTTCTCAGGGAATGTTGTGGCTGGTTTGATCTTTTATTCAGACCTGCAAAGTTTTGCCTTATCAGCAGTAAGACCGTTTCACTTTCTTATCACTTGTATGTTCACAGGAGTCCCACTGCTAATTTGCTCCAAGAACTCATCCTGTTCATTCATAGCTTGACTATCTGGTTGGTTCAAGAGGCCCTGCTGTCAGCTGATCTTGGCTTTTGGCATGCCTAACTCACTAAGCTTAATCATTTCTAGTTTTTGACTTAAAATGAGAAATGTATGATTCTTCATTTGAACACTTAAGAAGTCACCGTAGGACTATTAACTGGCCTAATTTCAATGTGGTTGTGTCTCTGAGAATAGGCAGGCCTGAGGAGAGGAGGAGAGACAGGAAATGGCTGGTCAATGGAGCAGTCAGAACATAAACTTTATTGATGTAGATCATCATCTCATATGGGCATGGGTTGTGGTACCCCTAAATATTTATTGTAGTAACATCAGAGATCACTGGTGCTGGCGTTATGGAGTAGCAAACAAAGCTGCCACGTGTGACACTGGCAGCTGGTACAGGTGCGGGATCATGTCTTGGTTGCTCTTTTTCTAATCCATCTCCCTGCTGATGGCCTGGAAATGCAGTGGAAGATGGCCCAAGTGTTTGGGCCCCTTTCACCCATGTAGGAGACCCAAATCAAGCTCCTGGTGTCAGCCTGGCCTAGAGCTTGCTGTTGTGGCCATTTGTACACAGTGTACCAGCAAACAGAAGATCGATCTCTCTCTGTAGTTCTTTCAAATAAATCAATATTTTTTAAAAAAAGATCACTGATCACAGATCACCATAACAGATATAATAATGGAAAAGTTTGAAATATTTTGAGAATTACCAATATGTGACGTGAAGTGAGCATACATGCTAGAAAAAATTGTGCTGATGTGTTGCTGTAGATTCGTTCTGAGAGGAGGAGCATGGTGGGGGCAAGAGACGTGGAGTCAGGAGTTGGGTGAAAGCAGACCAGAGGTGAGCAGCATGCAGACTTGTTTATTTCAGTTGGTACAGCAGCTTATATAGCTGAGGCAGCCAGTTCAGTCAAGGAGTGGTTTATGCCCTAACCAATCACAGCCCGTTGCCAGGCAGGCTCCATTGCCAGGTGGTTTCCCAGGGGGTTTTGAAGCCATTCCTGAGTAAATGATGCTCACTTGCCAGTGGCCATCTTGGCATGGCCTTCTCATTCCACCACACTGATGCACCTTTTCCATGAAGGACTGCCAAAGCATTCAATTTGTAAAAGATGCAGTATCTGTGAAGCATAATAAAGCGATGCACATTAAAACAAGTATGTATTTACTGAAAAAAAGTTGTTCAAGGTGGGTGAGCCTATTTGCTCTCTTACCAGTAACATAACACAATATAATTTTATCCTATTTTTGGTGGGCAGGGCTTGAATGTCTTATTGACCCACTAATCACTCTTCTTTGCAATAGAATAATATAAATTATAAATGTACATATACATATAATATACATATAAATATGTAAATTGAAATCTGATTTAAACATCTTGTGACTATAAAGCTTTATTACAATTTACTTTTTGGACTGACTTATCATTACAGTTATTAGCAGTATCCAATGGATCAAAATAACATATTTTGACTGTGTTTAATTTTATTAAACATGAAAAAGGAAAATTACATTGAAAAGCATTACTTATAGAATAATTATAGATTTCGATTAGTGTAAGTATCTGTGGGAAATGTTACTTATTGATAGAATTATAATATTCAGCATCACTTTATTCCTGTTTGAAATTTTTATTTAAGTGCTGATAAGCTGCATTCAAAATTATAAATAGAATTTACATCTTAATGAAGGAGGATTAGAAAAAGAATACAAGAGCATACTGTCAGGCAGTACAACTGCTGATCCTATAAAAAGCTAACGGTGTGTGTGTTAAGGATAGGGAGTTTGTATTTTAGATATTTTACTTTGAAAGATTAGGAGCTGGCATTTTAGGAGATCTGAGTGTTGACCTGAATAAAGTAACCAGGTACACCATGTAAACATTTATCTAGGTGAAAAGGCTTATAATACAAAGGAAATAGTAAAACGAGGGCTACAGAGCAAGTGTGCACGATATATGTAGGAACACAAGACAGCTGGTATTTCTGGAGCAGAGTAAGAAAGCAGAAGAAAAACAGGACATGAAATTGGGAAGGTAGCCCGATGAAAGGTAATATAAAGTCCTGAGGGCATGGACGGCTGCTTTTTCAGATGAGGACACATAGAATCCTTCGCACTGGTTCATGTGTTAGGAGGATCACTCTGGCTGCTCTACCAAGAATAGAATGCAGGAAGGAAGATTAAGTACCCCTGGATTATGCTGGTGGAGGGGGATGCTAAGATTTTAAGCAAGTCAAGGAGGATTAACTAATTATGATATATAATGTTATTTTAGTTAACGCTAGTAATAAAATGGGAAAGGGAAAATTCTTAAGACACCGTAGGATGCTGGTAATACAGGTGGCAGCATGCTTTGAGAGAATGAAAATCAAAGGTAGCTCTGAGATGCTGAAAATGGGAAGTGAGAAGAATGGTGGTAGCAATAGTCACAGAAATGAAGAAAAGTTTCAGAGAACGGAGAGGATGATGGATTTTGTCATGCTGAGCAAATGTGATGTTTAACTGATATAAAACAGATAATTACTCTTTAGTAAGACAGAAGTAGAGGCCATATTCACATATCTCAAGGAAAAGCAAGGAGCTGTTCCTTTAGGGGTATTAAACCAAACCAAGTAGGCCACTAGCCTAAGGTTGTTCCTGAAGCTGGACTACTTATGTGAATACACCTGGACTCGGAAACTTCCCTTGTGATTTGAAAAAACAAGTTAGCCAATCACACACAGCTGGTTACAAGTCTAGGGACCTCCCATCAGCGTGTGCCCACGGCAAATGCCCAGCTGTAGCCAGTTAAGTAATTTCTTTACTTTTCTTTCATGTTCAGCCCTCAGAAAAGCTTCCTGCTTACTGCTAGAAACCGGCTTTCTGAACCTCTTTGATTGTTCAGCTGTGTTCAAACCAACTGTTAAGTTTAATCTGTTTAAAGTTTTTTTTTTTTTTAAAGTAGTGATAATCAAAAGCCTGAGATAAATTTATTCACAACTTTCCTTTAAAATGTTGATGTAGCATAGTTAGGCCTTACAGGGCCCGACTCCCATTGTTTTTCTGGGCCTTGATTTCTTTATCTGAAAATTTTTGTATTACAAGTTATCTGATAACATTATTATGGGAAAAGTGTCTTCATCCGGAGTCCATGAAATTCCAGAGCGTCTGTGAAACCTGTAGTGAAAAAAAATTATAACCCTATTTTTTAAAAATTTTTTTAATTATTTTTTTTTGACAGGCAGAGTGGACAGTGAGAGAGAGAGAGAGAGAGAGAGAGAGAGAGATGTCTTCCTTTGCCGTTGTATAACCCTGTTTCTATCACTACGTCACAAGTGTAAAGGCTGGCAAGAAGCCACTGCATGTAGTATTAGCAGAATTTATGACTTTGTTTCCCATACATATTACAGATTTTTCATATCTCAGAACAATTGTTGAAGGCATTTTGAAATATTGTAATCAGTCCTAAATCAGGACTCCCGTATTTCCAGACCTGCTACTAGATTGCATGGGATGGCAGAATTTATTTGCATCTCTTATCCCACGGAGTTGGTCACCATCTTACAGTTCTAAGCATCTTGGTCCCAGCCCCACTGTGAAGTTGAATGATTAGACATTGCCGTCTGGTATCCTTCCAAATACAAGTGTTTGTCTTCCAGCATGAGAAAGGAGGTGACTTGGTTTAATTTTCATAATGCTCTTTCGTTGTAACTGATTCCTTGGTAATCCTATACCTCTAATTTCCTGTATTTAAATATGGCATTTTGACCCAGGATCTAGAACTCCATCAAATTACACAACATGTTATGGCACAAATGAAGCAATCCTGACGTAGAAGAGTAAAAGTGGTATACATGAAACACTAGAACAGTAAGTACCTCTGGGAACTGATGTGTGATGCTGGCACGCATATGGGTAACTCTTGGCGCCCCAAGTGCTCCACCACCCGGGACAGCAGCAAAGATGGCCCAAATGTTTGCAACCCCACCAGCCACGTGGAAGCCCGAGAGGAAGCTCCTGGCTCCACTGAGGCCACTTGGGGAGTGAACCAGCGGATGGAAGATCTGTGTCTCCCTAACTCTGCCTTCCAAATAAAATAAACAAATCTAAAAGTGCCTCTTCTTTATCTGATATTTAATAAGCAGTCGGCTGCTATCGGCGTTCAAATATTGAAGAGAACAGCAATCACATCAATGTGCTTCGCACCTGGGCGCTGCAGTAACCTAACGAGAGTGACCCAACTGTGGGAGGCGAGATGGGCGTCTCGGGCCCCTCCTTTGGGGGCTGCAACAGGAGAAAACCCAGGTGTACCCCCTAAAAGTGCCTCCAAGGGGATGGAGCCAGCTGGTGGCCAGATGGAACCGGTTCTTCTTTATTCCTCAACGCTTCCCTTCCTCATCCGTCCGAGGCTCCAGGTGAAGCGTGGGACTGGCAGGTGCAGCGCCGCCTTCCCCCTCGGCCGCGTGCGAGCCGGCCGCGCGGGGCCGCGGGAGAACTCCCCGCAGCTCGCCCCGCGCCTCGGTTCCCTCGCCACGCCCACTTCCTGCCCCATCCCGCTCCTTTCCAGGTCCCTCTCCCGGTGAACCGGATGCTCTGTCAGTCTCCTCCTCCACGTCCTCGGCCGCCACCCGGGTCCCTCGCGAGGCGGCTGCCACCCCGAGGGCCTAGTCCGGAGGCTCCCAGCGACTGGCCTGGCAAGCGTGAGGCGCGGTAGGAGCTGGGCGCGCACGGCTACCGCGCGTGGAGGAGACACTGCCCTGCGGCGATGGGTGCCAGGGGCGCTCCTTCACGCCGGAGACAGGCGGGGCGGCGGCTGCGGTACCTGCCCACGGGCAGTTTTCCCTTTCTGCTCCTGCTCCTGCTCCTCTGCATCCAGCTCGGGGGAGGACAGAAGAAGAAGGAGGTAGAGCGAGCCCCGTTGGCTTTCCCGCGTGGGGCGGGCCGGGTTGCTAGGCAGCCTCGCCGCGTTGCTAGGCAGCGGGGCGGCGGGGCGTGGGCGATGGCGGCGGCGGGGCGTGAGCCGCGTGGGTGGGAGGCCGCGGGGCGTGGCGGCTGGGCGGCGACCGGGGAGCCGGGTCCTGGCTCCATCAGCACCCCGCCGGGGGTTTGCTTGACCGTCTCTGACCCCCTCACCTTGCAGACATGGGGCTCCGTGTCCGTGGGCGGCCGGCAGGGTGTGTTGTAAAAATGAAGTCCTTACAGACCTGCAGGAAGCTGTTCCTTATTTTTACTCCGCTTCCTTCGATGTTCATGTAAGGACACAGCATACCATACTGAAAGCCTGTTGTAAGTTATTTGTTTTTATGCGTTTTAAAGCGTTATGTTGCATTCTGTATAATTGTGAGAATGAGGTCAGTATCACGGCAGTTCCTGTCAAGTTCGGATCGCCTGATTGTCGTCTTAGGCCGTTAGTAACTTTGAAGGCGGAATTTGAAGTGATTAAGTACATTTAAAGTGCTGGCAAAGTTGTGGATTTCAGTTATCAATAAATGGTGTGACAGTTTTAGAAAAACTTATTTTGGGAATGTAATCGGGGGTTTTTAATTGTGGGCCATTTTGGTAATACAGTTCCAGATGGTTTTCCTGGCGAGGTTATACACCGACACGTGACTCGAGTGGGAATCAGGGTCAAGGTATTACCAAAATTTTTTTGACAGAGTGAGAAAAACGGCCTCAGGTGAGAAAAACAGCCTCGGGTGAAAAGCATTTGTTTTCTCTTTAAACAACTGTGAATTCAGTATCAGCTACTTCCCTTTAGTTTTTTTCTCTTAGTGTATAAAATTCTTGGTGGTGTTCTAGAAAGTGTTAGTTTTTACATTTACAAATAAAAGTTGCAAATAGTTTTCTAGTACTTTTTGTTTCTATGCCATATTCCAAGTGTTGTAGTTTTGATAGTTCATCCGAAAGAAGGGGAGGAGGTTCAAAAGTATTAAGGTGTTTTTTGTTGGGAATTATCAGAGCACCAGGCAGTAAGAAATGAGGAATTAGGAAGATTATTACTACACTAACTGAAGGAAAAAGGATTTAAAAAGTACATGTTTGTAGCATCTTACCAGCTCCAGTTGCACTATTAATATGTGAAAACCTGTGATAACTTAGCATCATTTTAAATTATGTATTTTTATGAAAATATTTTTTCTAAAAGAAGTTTTTAAAAGTGAAAAATAAAGAATGCATTGTTGTGGATTAAAGAATGTTTTCCAAAACATTATTTTCCATAAGCAAGAGAGACTAATACTAATATATATGTTAAAGTGGAATAACAAATAGGTACGCCTCTGATATTCTATGAGTATGTCTGTCTCAAATATTGACTAATAATAGTACACAGTTCACACACCGGGAGAAAAACATTCTACGCTGAAAATGATGAGAAATGGTTGGTCATCAGTGTGGTACTTTTCAAGAAGTATTCTAGGGTGGTTTTGATCGGACATGATTTCTTTCTTCCTTGTTAACTCAGCCTGAGGCCCAGGATAAGGTTTAACACCACTGAGCCAGAAAGTATAGCAATTGGAACTTATTATTACTGTAATAAATACTAATGACATATGTTTCATAATAGTTGACATGGCATAAATAGTGTTTTCCTTCTTTCTCGGCAAGCTATATTAAAGTCTGAAGTTGATTCTAGAATTAATAGATGTTAGTTGCTTTTAAGGAAGTAATAATTCTGACAGCAGTAGTTAACACTTTGGTTAATCTATTTGATTACTTGAGAAGCAGATCTAGCTAGCAAATGCGAGAGCATGCTCCTGTCTACTGGTTCATCCCCACATGCCTGTAAGCACTAGGAGCTGAGAATTCAATTCAGTTTCTCCCATGTCAGTGAGTGATAGGGACCCAGTTGCTAGAGCCATCACTGCGTGAGCAGGAAGCTGGAGTCAGGAGCCAGAGCTGGGTATCCAAACTAGGTACTCCAGTGTGGTTCATGGGAATCCTAACTGCTAGGCCAAACCCCCACCTCTGCCACTGGGATCTGAGTCAGACTGATGGTCCAGTTACAACTCTGCCTCCATTTAAATTTGTGACACTAGCCAAACCACTTAACATTTCAAGATTGTTTGGATTGAATAAAGTGTACAGTGCAGTGCCTCCGACATAGCAAATGATAACCGGTAGCTATTATCACATGTTCTTCATTTAAATGAAAGCATTTAAATTGGATAGCATGAGATTTTGCAATGTGATATTATACTGATTGGGTTTTTGTAAATAAACTTTATAATACGTTATATGGTCTCTGAAGTATATGATCTGTTATTATGAAATAGTGAGGTATCCAATTTTTAGGTTGCGTAATACTTTCCTTGGAGGGAGTTTTTGCATCACAAAATTGATAGTGTTCCAAGGATTTAAAAAAATTATTTTTGAATCCCTGGAAGTAAATCAGAGAGTGCATGAGGTAACCATAGTTCTTCCCAAGAATCTTACTGGAGGGCCTCCAGGGAAGGATGGCAAACGAGATTCCCGGCAGGAGCATCAGCATCATGGTGCCCTTCATAGACCTCAGGTCCATGTGCAATTCTACCATCTGGGTTTGCCTCACTTTGCTCTACATCACCAAGGTGCTAGTGACCAAAGAGAACAAACTGACCACCAGGGCCAGCTTCACCAGGCCATGGATGGTGTAAACAAGATGGGTCTCATTTTGCGTATGAGTGGGTGAATACCTATACGTGTATGGATATACATACGTGTGTGTGCTGCTTCATGAAAAACATTTTCTTTCATTAAATTAGTTTTGTTACTTCTCTGCTTAAGAATGTGCTCTTAAGAGCCAAAGCTGTGGCGTAGTAGGGTAAACCTCCACTTGCAGCACAGACTTTCCGTATGGGCACTGATTCCTATCCTGCTACCCTATTTCCAATCCCGCTCCCTGCTAATGGCTTGGTGAATCAGTGGAATATGGCCCAAGTGCTTGGGCTCCTGCACCCTTGTGAGAGACCCAAAGGAAGCTCCTAGCTTTGAGTCCACCCACTTCTGACAGTTGTGGCTATTTGGGGAGTGAACCAGTGGATGGAAGGCTTCTCTCTCTGTGTTTCTCTCTGTAACTCTGCCTTTCAAATAAATAAATAAATCTCAAAAAATGTTCTTCATGAGTGAAGAGAATTAAGAAAGCTATTTTAATGAAAGAAAAATGTTTTCATGAAAAAGCATAAAGGTGTGTATATATACATACACATAGATATCACACCCACTCATACACAAGTGGAGACAGAATGGTAGAAAATATTTGCAAACTATGAAACTGGTAAAGGATTAACATCCACAATCTATGAAGAGCTCAAGAAACTCAACAACAGCAATACAAATAGTCCTTTTACGAAATGAGCACAGGACTTGAACATTTTTCAAAAGAGAAATTCAAGTGGCCATCAGACATAAGAAAAAATCCTCAGGATCACCAGCCATCAGGGAAATCCGAGTCAAAACCACGTTGAGTTAGAATGGCTCTCATACAGAAATGAAAATAAATGCTGGTGAGGATGCAGGGAAAAAGGTATCCTAATCCACTGTTGGTGGATGTAAACTACTATTGCCAGTGTGGAAGACAGTATGGGGATACCTTAGAAAGCTGAAAAATAATTTACCATATGACCTAGCAATCCCACTCCTGGGAATTTACCCAAAGGAATTTAATTCAGCATATGATAGAGTTTTCTCTACCATGTTTATTGCAGGTAAATTTGCAATAGGTAAGATGTGGAATCAACCCAGATATCTGATGACTGGATAAAGAAATTATGGTGTGTGTGGGTGTGGGTGTGTGGTGTGGAATACTATTCAGCCATAAAAAATGAACTCCTATCTTTTGCAACAAAATGAATGCAACTAGAAACAGTTATACTCAGTGAGATGAGCCAGTCCCAAAAAGAGAAATACCATATGTTTTCTCTGGTCTCTGATAAATAATAGAATCTCAAAAATGTAATATATAGGAGTGAGATTGACATCTTGAAATCCGATGATTGTTTACAGCCCCTGTCTCTACTGTTGAGGAACAGTGTTTTTTTCTTCTGTTTGTTGAACACTTTACTTAGTGTAGGGTTAGTCTTATGGGTATAAAGTAAACTGAAAGTAGATTATTGTAAAAATTTAGAGTGGGAATAAGAGGAAAGAGGAGGAAGGGTAAGAATGTGGGTGGGAGGGAAGGTAGAGTGGGAAGTATCACTGTGTTCCTGTATCTGTATACAATAAATACATGAAATTTGTTTACTTCAAATAAAATAAATATGCTCAAAAGAAATAGTTAAGTAAACATGTACAGAAAGAAAATGGAGATTTTTTTTTTAGTCATTTTCTGTAATTACATTGAATACAGTCATTGAAAGCTAATACTTGATTCCTCACTTGTGTTAAGTGATGTAACTTTTTGGGAGCCTTTTGCTTCTTCATAGTACATCATTTGTGTATCTAGTACATCTGATTTATTTTGGCAATTACGGTTTTATATTTAACACTGATCAGTTAATCAGTTAATCAGCCACCTTTAGAATGGTTTTAAGCTACAATGACCTCTTCTGATTTTATAAAATGAACTCAAATTCACTAATGATTTCCAGTAGACGTTGCCATCATAAAAAAAAACCCTCTCTGCAAATAATGTGATTAGTTCATAGGCTGTGATATGTGGGCAATAATGAATGCACACTATGAAAAATTGAGGGGTTCATAAATATTTCCTAAAAGTTTGCTTAAATGAAACATTTGTATTGGCTCTGACATAACTATGTCATTAATTGTCTTTTTTTTTTTTTTAAGAATTTCTGACAACTCTTTATTTTTAGTGAAATTGCGTTGAGTTTTGGCTGCATATTTCTTTTTTTTTTCCTTTTTCTAATTTTACGATTTCTTTTTTTTAAAACTTTTATTTAATGAATATAAATTTCCAAAGTACAG